CTGCGCCACCAGGGAGGGCCCCTCTTTCTAGTTTTTATCCATAATATGCTAACATCTATTTTTGAATGACTTTTACTTCTAAGTCTTACTTAGTTACTTACTATAAAGTTGATTAGTACAAAAGCACTTGTTTATTGGTTTCTTTCTATAGAACCTTATTTTGTAGTACTTATGCACTTAATTTTCAAGGTTTTCTTCATGGCTTTTAGACAGGAACATTAAAAGGAAAATCTTTGTTTTATGACATTGAAAGGGAGGTTTGGGGGTTTATAGTACTATACCATTATTGCCTAATCTTAAGGATGACGAGTCTGGAATTATTTTTATGTGGTTGGTTTTTTGGATGCAATTTTCATCTAAGAGATTCCTTATCTTTTTTTTTTTTAATTAAGGTTTTAAAGTTGAACCATATGAAATTACTCCTTTAAGTTAAATGCTAGTCAAGTAGAGGTAATTTCCTATGATTTAATTTAGTATTTAAATGCATTCATTTTTCACATGAGGAAAATTAGAGCAGATATTGAGTGGTATTTTAGGAAATTACATTCTTCTTTCTGTTATTTAACTCATTGTCTTTAGAAAATATTAGTTTTTAAAAGAAAGTTTATTGTATTTGATTAATTTGACACTTCTATTAAGCTTAGTTTTCTATTTTATTTCATCTCACATGAAGTTGTTTTCTTGTTTTTGAAAGGAAAATCAACTATATTATGATCCTTCCACTGGAATTTACTATTACTGTGATGTAGAAAGTGGTCGCTATCAATTCCATTCTCGAGTAGATTTGCAACCTTATCAGACTTCTGGAACAAAGCAAAGCAGAGATAAAAAATTGAAGAAGAAAAGAAAGGATCCAGATTCTTCCACAACACATGAGGAAAAGGTAATGTCTTCATAATTTTGAAACTTAATGGAAAGGTGATGTAATAATTAAGCCAAAATATGTGAGAAACTGAAAATCAGTGGCCACATTTCAAACACATCCATTAAAATAATAAGATACTAGAATCTCTGAATAAAGAGCATTCAATTGGACCAAACATGGATAATGAAAAGTTATAAGTAAAATTAAATGTAAATTTAGGGCAGATAAAATACTTTTTAGTGTTATATAATTTAGAAGAACATTTAGACTCTCAGTTGATAAGTTGTTGGTACATAATTCACAATAAAACAAAAACAGTTCGTGAATATGTGTGTTAGAAGTTCGACTTTCTTGGTCATGCTGAACAATTTCTTACCTACTAGCAGACATAAAAAAAAAAAA